ACTGTTGCGGCTCCCTGCTCTGATGACCCGTTGTTGCGGACCGGGGTCTGCCCGGGGTCTTGCGGTAGCGTGGTGTAGCTTCGGGTTGAGGAAATGAACGCTCACAAGATGGGGATACGAAAAAAAAACAGGTTTATGGCACTATTTACACTTATTTACAGCATAGAGACGTTGAAAGTTCACACAAACCACGAGCGTGGTGGTTGAACCGTTACATGGTTCAGAGCCACGTCCCGCACTCTGCGGCGTCGTTATAAGCCTTGTCGGGCTCCTCCTTCTTGAGGGGAACACCAATCACACACACACAACAGGCGAGGGGTACGAGCATGCACGGCCCACGTGAACATCCAATATTGAGTCGTGATCACTGCACTGAAAGGTGGCGCCAGAGGGGCTCTTCCTCGTCGTGTGTGTCGCTGGTCGAGGGGTCCCAAGCTCCGGACAGCAGACATCAAACGGTCCGCCAATCTGTCTGCTCAATTAGCAGGGCAATTTGTGGCGGTGGCCGCGGTTTCTTCCAAGGAAGACGCTGTCTTTGTTGTCCTCTCTGGAACGGCTTACCGCGTCGTGGCGACACGACGTCTCATCCTCCGGCTAGCAGGGACAATACCTGGTGGGCATAGGCAGCCGGCCAGTCGGCTACTTGTTTGAGGATTAAAAGAGCACCGCTCCCCCGTCATCTTTGGACGCTGGTTCCGAGAAAACTGGGTTTCCAGGCGTGGGAACGCTGCCCGGCTACGCTTCTCAGCGACAGCATGGCGCCTACTGACGACGGTCATAACAGCACCCACCACGCCCCGCGAGAACGTGCCTATGGGTTTGTAAAACGACTATTTATCCGAAGAACGCGCCGTTCAACTTCATGTTTACAAGTCGCACAGTCAAGACTGACATGATATTCTTTTCCAAATAACAATTGCGTCTCTATTCGACAGTGACGAACGGCTTCCGGGCACCGAATGACGAGCAGATATTAGCAAGAGCGCAAAGTTTTTTGAAGCATCTACATCGTAACTCTGAAAAACCTCAAATTGACTGGAGGAGCAGCCACAGATTGTCAGCTGTTGCTGCCGATAGTCTTTTTTCCTTTGAAAGTCGTTTCTAGCACTTGCTACTGGTCCAGAAGTGCAGATTCATTGCATGTCTTATTTAGTTGATATCCACGCACACGAGTGAATATTGAATATTTTTCTTTTGGGCAAGCGACGATGTAGCAGTACACATCTGGCGTGCCAGATTCCATATTTGCTATATATCGATACCTGCAACTAAGAAACCGCCGAAAAAATGCCTAATGCAATCCGCTGAAAAAGTATGCCAGTATGTTAGTTCACTAACGCGTAGCCAATTGCCAACTCAAAATTGCGTGTTCCTACGTACGAGTCAGAGAAATTCCGGCTCATGCGCTCAGAAGGAAGCTCTCAGTGACAGCCTACGTTGCTGAAAGCACGACACATCGATCGTCACCTCTCCTTGTTCAGGCACCGCACACTCAGATAAATGGTCGATTTAGGCTCAGGGATGTATAAACTCTACTTTACATTCACTCTTACACCTTAGAATCGTGCCTACTTAAAGTAAAAAGTGCCGGCAACAGGTACACCGACGCGAGCGGCACGATAGGCTTCGCTGGGACGGGGCATTGGTTAAGGCTACTTTCGAAGAAGCTCAGTTGCGATGCTTGAAGTTTCTGCATTTGAGCTTCGCAATATTTCTAACTGTTACCTAAACTGTACCTGAAGTATTCCAAAAGGACTTGTTTTCGGGCTAGTTGGTGCATACTTGGTGCAGAAGACTGAGGCACAAAAAACATATCGTGAACAGGACCTTCTTGCGTGGAATCGGCAATTAGCAAGGAAGGCGCCACAAGAACAACATGAACGCTGCCTGCTGGAAGGCGTTGAAAGTCTACACAAGGCTGCCCCAAAAGCTGATTCTGGGAGACAAGTGTGTGTGTTGCAACGTGTAGTGACATATTTTAGAGACAATGAACTCTGTCTAATGCTTTCAGATAAGGAAGGTGGGTTTGTGGCTTTATCCAGGAACTCCTATTATGAAAAAGCAAGAGAAGCTATCAACAAGAACTTCAAGCCTGTAAAAGTGAGGCCATCTAAAGTCAAGAAAAATGTTGTCTCTTTGTGTGAAGAAATTGGGTGTGAATCTTTGGCTAAACAGATAGGCAGGAGCAAAAAGGATTCCCTTACTGCTTTCTTCAGTGCTAAGACGCATAAAGCCGACGTACCTTTTCGCACCATAATTAGCGAGCGTGGAACTTGGCAATATCAGGTTCGCAGTTTTTTGCTCAATGCCCTAAATCTTCTTGAAGTTCATGACCCTTTATTGACAAAAAATTCTGATGAAGTATTTGGGTTTTTCCGGGGAAACCATGAAATAGACAACCTTTTTTCCGTAGATGTAAGTGAATTTTTTTACTCGGTTCCGCATCCAGAGCTACTTTGGGCAGTTAAGCAGTGTATAGAAGATAGTGGCGAAGCCACCTTTGTGTCTAAAATGGAGATGTCGTCTGCTAATTTTGCTACCCTCTTAGAAGCATATCTAAACCACACTTTCGTTCCTTATGAACATGGCATGTTTTTACAGAGGAAGGGCATTTGCATTGGGTCACGGGTAGCACCGATTTTATGTGACGTTTTTTAATCATCCTTTGACCACGCACTACAAAGTGTTTTTACTTCATTTCATCGAAATGTTTTTGAAGTATTTAGATATGTAGATAATTTTTAGCTGTTATTGACAATAGATGCCCTTTTCCTTTCCCTGTGATGGTTGAACAGGTTTTAGATGTTTTTAGAGCAAATGCTAAGGGGCTCACGTTTAATAAATTTCCGGAAGATAGCTCGTTGCAGTTTTTGGACCTTAACCTGATAATTTCGGCTGGTCACGTATGCTGCGCGTACCTCTCTCGGAGTAAGAAGGAGCTGTTACTTTACGATTCAGCGCATTTTAAGACTGTGAAACGCGGTATCGCTCTACTTTGCTTAGAGTTGGCACTACGCAGATCGTGTGAGCATGTAATGCAAGCTAGCTTTATGCATCAACTTCAAAGACTTTCCAAGGCCGGCTACCCTCAGTCCGTAGTTAGTTCCGTGGTGGAATCCCTGATGCAGAGGGTGAAAGGCAGAGTAGCTAATGTGCGCCCGAAGGAGAGAGAGCGGGTTGAGCCTGAGGTGGTCCCGTATATACACCATGTGAGCCATAACCTCAAGAAGGTGGCTTCCCGTTACGACGTCCCGGTCATCTTTTCAGCTCCCAACAAACTTGCTCAATTGTGCCCGCGTATCACATGCGATTAGCAAAGGGGCTGCCAGAAGCAGCACACAAAACTTTTTAGGCGCTGCACACAAGGCGTGGTATATGGGACTCCCCTAGGCTGTGGCAAGTTCTATATCGGTCAAACGGGGCGTTGCATTAATGAGAGACTGAAGGAGCATGCTAATAGTTTAGATAAAAGTGATCATGCGCATCTTCCAGCGCACTGTAAAGCCTGCGGATGTGTGCCATTGTTTGAGAAAACGTTGATTCTTGGTAGGTGCAAAAAATAAACAGCTAGAGAGCTCTTGGAAGCCTATTTTATCAAAAAGAAAGGGCCCGACTGTATCAGTGATATATCTATTGTGTTGTACTCAACAGAAACGCAGTTTTTGGATAACTTAGTGCCTTGATCGTGACGCTGTGCGATGTTTGTTGGCCGTGCACGCATGCGCGGTTTTGTCTTCTTTCCTGTGCGTTTCCTAGACGGTCATAAACAGTTGGTAGTTGGCGCTGCTCTTTCTTTTCTTCTGCTCTTCCTGCTTCATGATATGTTTTCTGCGCCTCAGTCTTCTGCACCATGTGCCTGAAGTAAGTTGAAGGTCAACCAATGCCAGATATGCATTTACGCATTTACGGAGTGGCGATGGCGAGTGACAGCCGTTTTTCTGGCCTCAGCTGTCAGTAAACAGCGGGCGTGCCAGTGTACAGATATATGAAGTTATATCAATACCGACAATAAAAAAAAACACCCATAGAAATACCAATGCAATCCGCTGAAAACGTATGCCAGGGAGTCAGTACACGAAGGCGTACTAAATCACCAACTGAAATTTGCGCGTTGTTACATATCAGTCGGAGAAGTACCGGCTAAGTGCGACCGGCAGCTTTCGGTGACAGTTTGCGTAGCTGAAAGCGCGACGTTCGATCGTCAGCGCTCCTTGTACGAACATCGACACAGGACAAAATAGTTGATTCAGGATCATGGATGTCTAAACTTTACTTTATAGTTATTCTCACACTTTAAAGTCGTGTGAACGCGAAGCAAGGAGCGCCGGTAACATATATACCAACGCAGCTGGCATGACAGGTTTAATGCTCGCTGGGCCGGGAACTGGGTAAGACCGCTTACGTATGCTCGGTATCTGTTAAAAAAATTACCTATGCTCGGTATCTGTTAGGGTAGCATCTGTTCCTGCCGTCGAATCAAGCGTTTTATATTCAACGACACCGAACAAACCACGGCAAACACTACAATAACATCACGCTGCAGCTGCGCTGGTAGAAACAGTGCGTGCTCCAGTATTCACCAGCGTTTGCCAGTGAAACTTCCAGTGCGTCCAGCGCTTCGTAGTGCGCACCAGCATCACAGCGGTTGAGCCAGCACCCCTACCAGTGCGACACAACTTTTTCCCAGTGCGCCCAGCGAAGGGCCAGTGATTACAAGCGTGTACCAGTGTCTCCAGCGTGTACCAGTGCCAAAAAACGTACTGACATCAAGCTGTTTTTGCTATGGGGGTGGTGCATGAAAAACGAAACATACTTTCAAAATATGAAATGACAAACATCAATGAATTTTATACCCTCTTTTTCTTGTCAAGGATACATTTTGGCAGCACAGATACACGCAATAGTGTCCCAAGTGTGAGAATAAATGACATAGTTAAGTTTATATAAAACACGTGAAATGAAGTTTACTTAAATGTTCAAATTCAGCTGACTCAAACTTCTGCAGCAGTTGACACCTTTATTATTGGAGGCTGAATATTTGCCAGTTCGCAACACATGTGGAAAATATTGGACATGGCCGAAATTAATTCATTGGGCACGCGTGTACCTAAAACATTGTACATTTTGACTCATTGAATTATGCGCTCCACCCGAATTCGTACCCTTGAAAGTTTATAAATCAGCTGTACTTCAGCCTCAGTAAACTGGCCTTAGCCTCTGGGAAAAGGAGACATAACAAGTACAGCCCCTGCCTTCCCGAGATCTGTAGTAATGCCAGGAAATCCCTTATCAGACATGATCATGTCGCCTGGTTTTTATTTTTCCAGAAAGTCAGAATTTAAGGTTACAAAAGCATCGGAACACCTTCCACCATATGCTTTCGAATGAAAACACACAGCTACACTTCGTTTGATCGCTACAAGAAATTTCAGCGTGAAGCGACTCTAGTAGTTTCAATAAAGTGCCTTTTGCTCTGTTACAGAAGCTGGCTGCTCTGTCGAAACCTCTGTGCAATCGATAATCATGGTCCAGTTTGGGCAGTGCAATTTGAAACAATCAGACATCAGTGATCTAAGGATGTGTCTGGGTGGAATGAATATCCATTTTTCAGTTGCAGTAGCTAATGTGCGAAGCACACCATTGAAGTGTCTAACAGTGGTCAACCTGCTTGTGGAAAATAATACTGCTAGTGATAAGTAGAAAATTCCTAACTTTAGCTTCAACAAAAAATCAATAGTCCGTCATGCATCGATACATCACAAGAGCGATCAGCAGCCACAGGCAGCGGCGCAAATAAAGCGGCATATATTTCTAATGTAACACCACAGACACTGGAACACTAGAACATGACTTAACGCTTTCGGTACTAGAACATGAACATGACTTGACAGCACTAGAACATAACCTAACCCTTTCGTAGCTATTGAAAGACGAAATTCGCTGGCTTGGCCCACTGTGACGTGAGGTTGTTGAAGGGCTACACTGAACTTCTGCATTGCAAATAGTTGTGTGCGAGACCTGTGTGCTTTTACCATGCCCGTCCATGCAGCACAGAAACTCAACCAAAGGTACTCAGGTATCAGCATCATCAGTCTGGCAGGCCTGCATACGACCAAGAGAAAACATAGTATGCAATGAGCGATTTTTATCCATGCAGAAAACTATCGAAAGCGGGATTGCTCAGTGTATACAGAAACTCTCAAATTCTATTCTTTTTCCTTATTTATTTTCCTGACCTAGTCACACAGTGATAATGTACTTACCGCAGCGGAAGCTTATTTACAATACAGAGGTCCACACACCGCATATTGCATTTTAGGTATAAATGTTTCCGCAAATGATGATTGTTAATTATGAAAGATCAACTCGAAGCCTCAAAATAAAGTCTTCAAATGCAGCTACTGTTTGTGTAAGCATAAAACTTCAGAGAACTGATCGTGAACTTTAAAAGTAGCGAAATCGTGAGTACTTGTCCATAACCTAACTGGTGGCTTTCTTAAATGTCTGCAGTGTTTTAGTGCAACCTTTTTCACTTTGAATGAGTGAAAATGTGAATGTGCTATAAAATGCATTATCAACTGCCAGATGCACAACAGGGAAACTTGAAGGAACAAGTGCAATTCCTTTTTTCTTTTCCATCAGAAGCGCCAGCATCCTGCTCGTGCTATGACGTTACTGTGATGCTTGTAAGTACCATTTATGACAGATGCAATGTTACGCTTTTCACTGAAGAGCACATTTTGATTCTGTTATTCTAAGTGATGTGAGATGGTACAGCAGATAAAGGAACACAGTTATTGCGCGATGCAAAAAAATCAATATTATGTTAACATATCTGAGAAACGTAATAGTACCTTTATAAACAATGCAAAGATGCCGTATATCATGGTATTGTGGCTGAAGTCAGTTTTTCTGAACTGTCATAATACGGGTGTTTCTTCATGCCTTCATTAGTGCTGGTGCTACCTCTGCACAACAAATTCTCATTTGTGGGTAGAAAGACCAGCTTCATTGCACACACCTCATTTTGCATGCAACTAAAGGCAAAAATTTAGGTATTTTCTATTATACATACACTTCAACAACAATGAATATCATTTTCGGCATTCATCAATACGTTTCAACAACAATGAATATTATTTTCAGCATTCATTTATACATTTCAACAACCATAAATTTCACTTTAAGCATCTGATACAGCTACAGCCTTAAGAACAATAAAGGCTACTACCATAATGAAATAATGTCAAGCTGCCCACTGCTGCAGTATATTTCAGCACTGCAATTAACAAATATAGAGAGTTAAATTAGCATACAGAGTGCACAGCTGTCACTTAGTGTATATATAAACAGCAACTTCATAAGGCTATACCTGGTCTGCTGTTTGGCTTGCACCAATGGAGCGGCAGCGCAGAGCAGGTCGGTCCAAGCAATTGACACAAGCACTGGACGTAGCGCTGGAGGTACTGGAGGTCGTACTGAGGGCAGTGTCCTCGCTGTCACCAAAATCAATGTCAGTTCTTGGGTCTTCAGGCTTTGCCGAACTTGCAGCAGATGCCCTTCTGTTCCTGCTAAAAATGAATTACAATAACATTGAATTTAAGCACACGTATGTCGTGCAATATTACAAAGCCTTTGACAGGCCTTTTTGTCCCTCAAACCATGCATGTCAATAAATAAGGTTGCATACTAACACCACTTTGTCGGAACTGACCATTCATCTCTTGACAAAGATCTTTCTGCATCGACAGGACGAGACTTGTAGGCATATGAAAAAATGGTAGGGTAGTAAGTAGCCTGGATGCGTGTTAATGTCGTGGTACAGTAGTAGCCTGGATTCGTGGTAATGTAAGCGACCTGGATGCGTAGTAACAAGGTGCTTTTAGGATACCCTTGCAGCATCACTTGTGATCCAAGCAGAACCACCACCCTCACTGTAAACAGGCATTAAGAAAGAAGGAGCTAGGGCAAAAAAAAGAAAAAAGATGCAACCAAGGAACAGAAATTTTTTAACAGTAAGCGAAAAAAAAAAAGAAGAGGCTTGTTGGTGTACAGTCATGGTTGCGCGCGATTTTACAGAGAGAGAAATAGCAACAAGCGGATAAACAAAAAAAAAATTATTCCCGTAGCTTTATCAGGAGGGTATTCGCTGGATAATTTGCAAACATATAGGCTTGTTTCAAAAACCATACCCATATTTTTGATCAGAATGCAGCTTCTTGTAATTACTAAGGAGAGGCGAAATTCCTGCAACTTCGCCGGCAAGCCAACTGATGGGAGCAGCAGAAGTGGCAGCAGCTATAGAACGACTTCAATATTTGGTAGTCTTACGCTATGCGTAAAAATAGCACATGTGCAGCACGCACACTTACGAAGTGAAGTAAATACGTGGTTCATACAACGATGCTCGCTCATGTTGCTCGTTTATGGAAACATGGCGGCTGCACTGCCTCAAAGTTCGTTTCGCCGCCGCAAGTGCTCAGATTTTATCACTTGGTAAAAATTACCAGCTGTCACTATTCGAATATGTCAAAGGGGCAACAACATGTTTTGCAGAAAATGGCCAGTTTTCCTAGCTGACTCGATTGCTAACCTCTATTCAATAAAAAGTTGACTAATTTGATTTGTTTGAATACTGCCGTCACTGACGTCTAATAATCATAATATTCCTGTTGATAGAGAAAACGTTATTATCAACGCAATAAGCGAATATCGCAATTCTCTTACTTTTCGCAATTTTTATATACACTACTGGAACCAGTCCGCACGCTTACGAGGACGCGCGTTCGTAGTGTCCAGTGCGTTCTTATGTTGATAACAAACGGCATCAGAGATAACCGAAGCATAAATTGGTACTAATTACACAGGTGCAGATGCTACAGGTACTTCACTCACCGAACGGCAACAATCTATTTTCTCCGTCGCTCTTTCTCCCAAAGCTGGCCGAGAAAACAGTACATTAAACTGTAAGCAAAAGTTAGCCGAGGTGGGAGTTTCTCCAGCACATGAGCCCACAAAACTCTCCTGCCCCAATTATTTACTCCCTGGTAGGGAGTGAACTCGGCACATGTCATCGTAAAACGCCCCCTGCTTAATCACAGAGTTTATGAACGACATGACCTTGTTAAACTCCCCAGGGAGTTCCAGGTCACGTGGTTACAAACTCCCTATATGTGCTTTAAGAACCCTCTTTGGGCGTGACGTGTGTGTGTGTGTGTGTGTGTGTGTGTGTGTGCGTGTGTGTGTTTGTACGGGCATATATTTGCACGTCGGTGTGAAACACATGTGCTTTGTGTGGCTAACCGTGTAAGCATCTGTCAACAGGCAACGAAATTATAAGTGCAGCGAAGAATAGCAACGACCGGTTGGTATTTACTGTGAACATTTCAATATATTTCGCACCGTTAAACCACGCTGCACATCGGTCCGAATCCTCAACGAAACGCCGTGAATGCCGCGCTTCAAAGGGCCGAGAAACAAAAAACTTCGAAGAATAAATTAATGGTAGCAAAAGTAAGTTGTTACGATCGTCAGCGGCTGCTCCTGGAGTTTAACAGTGAAAAAAATTGAAGCGGTCTGAAATAGGCTTCGCTCGACTACGGCAGGCTGGCTGGCAACCGGTGTGAGAGTTGCGCCGGCGATGCGCTCGCCCCGTCTCCGCCGATAGTGGCTTCTCGGAGTGTCACCGGTATTTCACCGGCTGTAACATCTAAGTGGTAAGAAGGCCTCGCTATGCCGTCGGTATCAAGCCTATGGTAAGTTCTCGGAGTGTCACCGGTATTTCACCGGCTGCAACATCTAAGCGGTAGGAAGGCCTCGCTATGGCGTCGGTATCAAGCCGGCATCGTATCGAGCTCGCACTGCGCACCGGCCGCCGTGGCGAGCTCTGCGAGCTATACATGCAATGCATGCGAGCAACGGGAACAGCGACTGCGAACCGTCTCATTCGTTTACGTCTATCGCTCCGTAGCTTAAACTGCGTGGATAGCGGACACCTATTTCTGTGCATGGGAAAAACAACGAGACGTAAACTGCACATCAGCAAGCATTTTGTGATCGCCAGCTCTCATTAATCGAATCACCGTGCCGTACTCGTGAGTGAGGCCTAGTCGTCGAACGCGGTAGCGGCGGTCTACCTCGGTTCATCGCTGGAGCTGCTAAATGTGCGCCGTTAATGTGTTCATTCAAGGCCGCGCGCACTTTGTGTATGATTCAGTGCATTTTACGGGTCCACAAACAGTACTGCTAATGCAAATTCAGCCCGTACGACAGAGCGTCAACGGATAAAACTTTTTCGCTATAGTAGAACAATATTGAATATTAGGCAGGCTTTGGATAAAATGCATGTGTGTTGAAGTACTTGCATTAGACTACCGCAAGTTCATACTTACGCCGTGCGTATTTATTGCTTAATTATTAGCGAAAAAAGGCGTTCACCAGGGCTACATGGGAGGTAAGAATGTGGTGCGTGCATATACCCGGTGACTATATGGTAGGTGTGTACTGCATGTGGCAAGCTGGGGTGAGTGCGAGTGTTGTGATATTACGTGAACGTTGTGATAATGTTTGTGTACTGTTATCATTGTGCGCATTAAATGTAATGTAATTAAAGTTACGCTTGCGCATGGTACGGCTGCTGACGTAATTTTTTTCTTGGTCGATGCAAAAAATTTACTCCCATACTGACCTCAAAAAGTTCCCCAATGGATGTAAATAAAACCCCCCCTGGCACCATGCGAAAACCCCCTACTGATGGGGAGTAAATTTTTTACTCTATATGGTAGGTGTGTACTGCGTGTGGCAAGCTGTGGTGAGTGCGAGTGTTGTGATATTACGTGAACGTTGTGATAATGTTTGTGTACTGTTATCATTGTTGTGCGCATTAAATGTAATGTAATTAAAGTTACGCTTGCGCAGGGTACGGCTGCTGACGTAATTTTTTTCTTGGTCGATGCAAAAAATTTACTCCCATACTGACCTCAAAAAGTTCCCCAATGGATGTAAATAAACCCCCCCCCCCCCCTGGCACCATGCAAAAACCCCTTACTGATGGGGAGTAAATTTTTTACTCCTTCCGGACGGTGTTTACAAAACTCCCACCGGGGCGTGCGCTAGAGGACAAGGTCATTTACTCCCATCTCGGCTTATTTCTGTTTACAGTGAATTCGAATGCCGGGCTGTCCTTCACGGCTGAGGCAGTCTTTGACGCAGCAGTAGCGGTGCTTGTTTTATTTTGTTCTACTCCAAGTACCGGCGGTACCGGTACCACCATCAGTTGCCATGGGACCAACAAATTGAGGCATTAACACGAAGCTGCGGGCACTGTTTTCACCTATTGAAGACGATGGAACCATCGCTGCCATTGCCGCCGCAACGCACCTGGCCAATCTGCGGTTTTCACGGCGTCACTGGCGATAGGTGGCGCCTGCGCGTTCATGAACTGCACTGAACGGAGCCTATAGGCGATGAAACTTGCGAATACATTGGTTGTACGGGCTTGGACACTCGCAATAAACGATGCAAACCTTAGTTGATTGACGTTGTTTTCGCCAGTCGAGGCCAGTTAGGTCACCTGGTGATAATTACACACGTGAACTGCAATTTAGCAACGACAAAAAAAAATTGCCCGCAGCTTCCCTCGGGGGAACACTGAGGAGGATGCGGAGCATATAATTGATTAACGGGGTGTTAAAGTGCGACTTACTTGGGTCGATGGCTAAATTGGTTAACGTGGTTGTGAAATGGGGTGTTAAATTGCGCCTTACTTGGGTCGATGGCTAAATTGGTTAACGTGGTTGTAGGAGGGGGTGTTAAATGAGTGAACACGTACACACGTATGCGAAAGGGCGGCGCTGGTCGAAGGGACGTCGATCATTGTGTTTGTGGATTCGTTGGAATTCATTTCACCGCGACCTTGGACGTCGACGCGCCGTACAAACCAACCGACGAGCGGCAACTGAGCGAGCGAGCGCCGACCTTGAGTATATATACAGCACGACGGCGCATGCACTGTCAGCTGTTGAATGTTCTCGAAGCGCGACGCCACATGCGCGTCCACTGGAGAATCAGGAGAATTGTAGATGTCGAACGCGGTGTGTAGAGGAGGAAGGGTGCACAGATGGTGGAGGAGTGAAGCGCGCGCGGTGTGTAGAGGAGGAAGGGATGCACAGATGGTGGAAGAGTGGGCGACGGCGCGACGGCGCATGCGCGCGCGTCAGCTGTCGAATGTTCGAGAAGCGGTGCGGACGGCGCGGACGGCGCACTACAAGGCGCGAGTATAAGATGCTTCCGCATCTAAAAATACCAGAGGTAGCGAGCCGCACAAACCAGCAGCGAGCCCCCCCCCCCCCCCCACCTGCAGCGAAAAAAAAAACGCGTCTGTTTAATGATGATGATAGTACTACCCGTGCCATCTCGCCTCGTAGTATTGCAGTTCAGTATGCCGCCACTACCTATTTGCATGTTATTTTGATACAACAGCCCAAAGTACCATTCCCTAAAGTGATAGGTGTTCTGTGGTGTAGACAGAGAACACCTACCACTTTGGTGTGGGT